GGAGGTGCAACCATTTTGAAAAAATTTCACCAGAGTTCACTCCATCGACTTCAGTATATTGTCAGATTTTCAGATCCTTTCTAATTATAGTTTTTTCACAATCGATCGATACAATTCCTGTAGATTCACCCTGTATATCTAACTTGAATCTGGTTNTAGTTTCTCAAATTTATTTCTCTGTTGGCTGTCACAGAGAAAAGTATTGACAATTAAAAGTGTTTGCCACTAAAACCACTTTTTATTTTCTAGATAACAACTAAGAAAGATTTGAAGATTTTGAACTACTCCACGGCTGTAAGATATTTTGACCCAGGATCTAATACTCCCAGTGGTAACAAGACCGGAAATAATGGGCAGATTCAGTTATGGCAATTTTTACTAGAACTTCTCACAACACGAGAATACAAAGCCGTCATTCAGTGGATTGGTAAGATTTTTTATTTATACAGGTTATTATCACCCTATTGATCATTAAAGATGGCTGGTTAGGATGTACCTGAGAAAATTGTCATTGAATCAGCTTACATTCCTTACGATAGTCGGGAACCACCACCGATTTGCATTTGCAGCTGATTCCCAGAAAATTACAACCTTTTTGAATTATTCACTAGACTTGGGCATAGTAATATACTTTTAGACTAGGTTAGGTTAGATCTAAAGTGAGTGGGTCTATTCGACCCTCCACCGCAACCCGCAAGGATTTATTGTGGCTCACACCTATTCACACTCGGAGAAATAGACCCAGCTTCTTAACGAAGCCGATTAGTTTGTATGGTGAGTGCTCTTTCAGGTCAGATGGTAAGATTATGGCTCTGCCGAACTCTAAGAACCTGATTGGGTCTCCAGCGGGCCAGACACAACAAAGTATATGCTCTGCTGTTTCATCATTTTCCAAACAAAGGCGACACTGTCTTCCGACAGTCCAAGTCTCTGCATATGATGATTCAAATGACAGTGACCTGTAAGAAGGTCTGTTAGACATCGTAGTTCATCCCTACTGCAGGCCAACAACTGTTTGGTATCAAGCTTCGAAGGGTGAATAAACGCCTTGGAGTGATCCAATCCTGGAAGATTCTGCCAGAAGTCCATAAATTTTCTTGCCATTCAGGTGTTCAATGTTTGCTTGGCAAAGCCTATAGCGATGCCAGTGACAGGTTTTGGTCCGATGGAGCTGCTTGCAGCACCCTCCTTTGCAAGGGAGTTAGCAGCTTCATTACCATCCAGACCAGTATGGCCAGGAATCCAGTCCAGAGACAATCTGTTAAGTCTTCCTATCGAGGAGGGTCGTTTTTGGCAATTTGCTACCAATTTGCTCGGTAGGAGTCAAGAGCTACCAACGCCGCTTGGCTGTCCGAGAATATTTTTATTGACTTGTGTGTGAGGTTGGATTTATCCAATCTCTCCGCACACAATTCAATAGCGTAAATTTCCGCTTGAATTACAGTCGCATAAGTTCCTAGGCAGGTAGATATCTCTGTCCTGGGTCTGCGACTAAAACCACCTTCATCAGAACCAGAAGGTGTTTTTGATCCATCTGTGAACCATCAACTATCTGCTCTTAATATTTCCTTCTCCCGAAGGATCCAGTCCTCTTTACTCGGGAACAGTACTTTATAAGGCAGTTCGTAGTTGACAGTTGGAGGCATAAAGTCAGAGGTCATTTCCAGAATGCTGTGACTTCCAGTGTCAACTAACAGTCTGTTGCACTCTGCATTAAATTGATCCGTGCAATTGCACGAAAAATGTAGAGTGGTAGTAGATTTGGAAGGATCTCCATGGCCGCTGACGGTGTGTTACTGATGGCACCACTGATAGCCAGACAAGCCTATCACTGTAAGCCAGAGATCTTCGCTTTTAGACTACCTAATGATACATATAATAGAGTTTAGAATTGGGCATTTTTATATGTTTACCCCAACTGAAAGAAGTATCCATTGTAAACCCCTAAGAATTAGATTTCGATTTTAAGAGGAACTGATTTATTGTTTAGTTTTATAAGATTCTCTATCACTCAGATATACTAAATGATATGAGTCCAGTTTTCCCCATATTCAATTTGTGTTCATTATCTGAACACCAATTCGACACCATATTTGCAATGTCCGTTAACGCCTTATAGAGATTGGTATTGTTGTACCTTCTTTATACATATACAGTGTTTTGTTACAGATACATAAAAAGAAATTTGTAAAACAGTAATATTCATTAATTTAACATCGGATATGCAGATCTGTTGATTCCTCACTGGGACAAATGCAGGGAAACCACCGCAATAGTGTGATATTTCGACCAAATCTTCTATTACTTAATATAAATACATTAAATAGTGATAAAGCTGATTTGTTATACAGCGATCACATATATCCAAATTCACATCACTACAAATTTTATGTTTAGTGGAAATAGGAGTAAAATATGATCAATTAAACTGCTGACATATTGAAGGTTATAAACTAACTAGTTTCTACTGTAGACCAATCGTGAGTTGTGGAGGACCATATGGGGCTCATCACAGTTTTGAAATGAAATTCATACATGTGGAAATAGGAGTAAAATATAATCAATTAAACTTCTCACATATCGAAGGTTATAAACTAACTAGTTTCTACTG